ATTCCCAGTGGAAGCGTTCAACGAGGCCGTTAGCACAGGGGTGATATACCATTGTTGAAATGTGCTTCGCTCCAAGAAGATTTACAAATTCCTTAAACAGCGTTGATTGAAATTGAGGACCGCAGTCTGTCATTATCACTGATGGGCATCCAAAGATGGAAATCCATTCTTTCAATATCGCCTTAGCGACAGACTCTGCGGTTGTAGATTGAAGTGGGATGGCGACAGGTCATCGTGTAAATCTACCGATCAGTGCAAGAATGTATTGGTATCCATCTACTTCCGGTAACGGACCCACTAAATCAGCCTGCAGATGACGAAAACGACCGTCAGATACAGTGAAATTTCCTAGTGGGAATTTGACATGACGATGTATTTTCTTTCGCTGACAAATGAGGCAACACTGAGTCCAATGTTTGATATCGACGTTCATGTTTGGCCAGACAAAACGTTCACAAATAAGTTTTGTCGTTATTTTCTGTCCAGGGTGTGATAAAGAATGGAAATGGTCGAAAATTCGTCTTCTCATACTGACAGGTACTAGGGGTCTGGGATGAGAAGTGCTGACGTCACAAGCGATTAACTTATTACTGAAGGGGACGGGACGTTACTCTATTGTTAATGACGAATTTTTCACTGAGTCTAACAAAGTAGTGTCCCTTTGTTGCTCGTCGGCGACAAACTCGAGGTCAAGTTCCTCCTTACTAGCGTTGAGTAAGAATGCTCTCGATAGGGTGTCGGCGATGGTGTTATCGTTTCCTTTAATGTAACGTATGTCAGTTGTAAACTGAGAAATAAAATCTAGTTGTCTGTAGTCACGGGGATTATATTTGTCTGATTTAGTATGAAGGGCATAAACTAAAGCTTTATGGTCGGTAAATACCGTGAAGTCTCGACCTTCTAAAATGTGCCGAAAATGTTTGATTGCTAATAACTCCCGTGAAAAAGTGCTGTATTTTCTTTTTTTTTTTTTTTTTTTTTTTTGAGTTGTGGTAAGTTTAACGGAGAAAAAGGAAATAGGTGTGGTCTCTTTTTCTGTGTGCTAGTGTAAAACAGCTCATATGGCTTCTGATGAGACATCAGTGGTGAGCGAAAGATGTGTTGTTCCGTCGTCACGTAAATACATGAGTTTACTTTAGTTAGTATAATTCGCTAGTGCATTTCTTGAATTGGTAAAAGCAGCAAGAGCTTCATCCGACAGAGTTATCTTTGCATTTCGTGTTCCCTGGCCACGAAGTAAATTGGTGAGAGGTGCCAGAATGTGGGAACAGTTAGGGATGAATTGACGATAGTAATTTATCAAGCCTAGATAACGTCGAAGTTGTCGGGGTGTAGTTGATTGAGGAAACTCTCGTATAGCTGTAACTTTCTCCGCGACAGGTGTGATGCCAGAACCGTCAATTTCATATCCAAGGAAATTTAGTTTAGGTACGGCAAACACACATTTGTCGGGGTTGACTTTTAAGCCGAAATGTTCCAAACGCTGAAAAACTTGCGTGACGTGAAGCACGTGTTCGTCTATGTTGGTGCTTGCTACTAGGAGATCATCAATAAGCAAACCCCGTAGTGCTTCGTCGATCAGACGTTAAAACGACTGTGCCGCAAAAGGCATTCGAAGGAATTCATAAAGACCAAAAGGAGTTGTGATAGCAGTCTTATGGATGTCTTCTGCGGCCACTGGGATCTGATAGAAAGCTTTTCTTAAATCTATCTTCGTGAAGATCTTAGTTCCCTGTAATGAAATTGCGAAATCGGCTGAGTTGGGCACAGGATACTTGTCGGGAATTGTCTGTGCATTTAAACGTCTGTAATCTCCGCAGGGCCTCCATGCCCTCTCTTGCGCCTTGGGGACCATGTGGAGTGGAGATGCAAAAGTGCTTGATGAAGGGCGAATTATGCCCAAATCCAACATATGCTGAAATTCAGCACGTGCTAATTTATATTTCTCTGGTCCGAGTCTGCGTGGTTTCGAAAAAACTGGCGGGTCGGATGTCTGGATTTTGTGTACGGTGTTATTTTTCACCGTTTTGGTCTATGTAAAAGGTTGAATGAGTGTGGGAAACTTATCCAATACGTGTTGGAGTGGGTTATTCTCCGGCAAAGCAACGCATAACTTAGTTGATGTGAGAGTGGAGGTAATTCCTAAATGGGCAAGTTTTGTTGTTTGGTCGATGAGTGTGTGATTTGACATATCTACTGCTAGCTTGTAATGTGCTAGGAAGTCCACGCCGAGTATTTGGAATTTCACTTCCGTCACGATGAAAAACCATTGAAATGTCCTTTTTAATCCGATGTTTAAGGTCATTGAAACCTGGCCGTAGGTTTGAATTTGAGAGCCATATGCCGCACGTAGAAAAACCTGGTCTGGGCGAAATCACACTGACTTGAGCGCCTGTATCGACCAAAAATAATTAATCTGAGTTATTGTCCCGAACATAAAAAAGACGGTTGATTCTGTCTCCCCCAACAGCAGACGCCGTCTTCATGCGCTGTTGGGGCTGGCGTTTCCCGCCTGCTGCTTAGATGTAGATGCTTTGACCTGACATGGCTTAGTACAGCGCCTAGCTACCTGCCGAAATTGCGGTGATACCAACAGGTAGTAGTCGTCCTCCCTTGTGACTTAGATCGCGAACGCCGGTGTGACTTGTATAAGTTGTGATCTTGGGGCGAACGCTCTCTGCTGAAACGATCTAGCTGAATTGGCAACTTGTTAATTTGTTGTTGCAGCTTGTTTATTAAGTCGTCGACGTGGGTGCCGTGTGGTTCGGGGACATGCATACTATTGAGGGCTTTAGCTTCATTGATTTTGTCGGCTATTTCAACCATTTTCATCAAGTCTAAATCCTCAGGAAGGGTTGCTGGGAGTTGGGCGGTGTGGGTGGTTAGTTTGTCCATCCAAAACTTGCGGAGCAGTGATTCCGACTGTGTTTTTTTTCCTAGCAGATTCTTCATCTTGCGTAACAGTTGCGTAGGCTTACTGTCGCCCAGTTGAAGAGTGCCGAATAGGTCATTTATGAGGCCTTTCTTAGATTTGCCTGTCCTAATTTATGGATTTCCTTAACGTGTCGAATGGCTTGTCTGTCGGGACGTTGTCCAGCAAGTCTGATACTTCAGAAGCAATCTCCGGCGACAGCTTTTCAACAACGTAGACGAATTGTGCCGTTTGGGAGTGAATTCTTTTCACCTGGAAGATGGCGTTTAACTGGGAGAACCAAACATGTACATTGATTGTGTTAAAAACAGGCAGGTTAACCAATACAGTAGCTTCATTGCCATCTTGGTCGGCCATCTTGGGTAGTTTTTAAAATGCACGTGGTAGAGAAAAAAATTCTTCGCGCCAAGTTGAAGTGTTGATTTTTGAGGTGTTGTTGGCACAAAATTGGGTTTTTCCTTTTTTTTTTTACTTTTAAGAAGAATCTCGTTGAGAAAGATACGTCGGTGTCACCATATGTAAGGGTGTATTGGTTAAAAGATTTATTTTTGGAACATTAGGGTTACCTGTACCAATTGAAAAGGTGTCCGTTTGTAGATAGACCAATACTATTTATATTATTATACTTTCAACGTTAGGGATTCTAGTAGGCAACAAAAACTCCAAACTGTGAATCAACAAATATATATTGAAATAACATACAAGAACAAACATGCAATAAAATTGTATTCAATGTATATAGACTAAGGGAAAGAAGTTGTTCCCCTTTAATTGTATTTTGATTTGTAATTGATTGTTCGAAGAAAGTTGTTTTTGATAGAAAAATGTTCACGAATCAATATTAGAACATTAGATGGTCTGTTTGTTAGAATAGATAACACAAGAATACAATTGATCAAAAATGTGTTGTGTTATAGAATGGTTCTAAATCAACAGTCTTGGTTGATTGAGCTTGGCTAAGTCACAGAGAGAAATGTAAGTTTATATTACGAAATTCTGTGTCTGTATGTGCGTTTGAAATGTTATGAGCAAGATTATGGACTTGTGCGGACAGGTGAATTTTACTGGATCTTACTGACGACTTGTGAAAAAGTTGCCTCTTTTATGAAAAAAAGGGTAGGCTCCCATGGCAACGCGGGAAAACTTAATCTTGCACTAAAATATGTGATTGGTTAAAAATTAACCAATCACTACATTCGTACTAACAGAACAAGCAAGCAATCTCAAAACCGAAGGATTCAAAGAAACGACTGCGATGGCTAAATTGTCCTATATAAAAGTAGTAGTGATTTATTAGCCAATCGCAGGCGAATAAAATGTGGGCATGGAAAAACATAGCAATCGCTACAAACTGAATGTAAATTGATAATTAAGCATGTAGATCTAAAATACCCCTGTTTATACAAATGTCCCTTTTGCCCTGTTTAATAATCACTCTTTATACAATGTTTAAAAAATAAAAAGAAGAAAAGAAAAAAATCCTCAGATTTTTATATAGCAGGAAACAGAATAATAATTGTATTGATTCATTAACATTTTAGCAACCCTTCAGTTGATTGCTCATATATTTACAAACTAGGTGTACTGAAAAGTTCTTGACCTAACTAGGAAGGGATTCCAAAACAAATTCTGGTATTTAGTCATTTAATCAGATTTTCTGTAGTTGGTCAGAGTGAGAATTTTTCAGCACTTCCTCATATGCATGAATATCTTTATTAAAATGCAACTACTTGTACCACTTATAATTATTAAAATCTTTTGCAATAATAAAAAAAGCAAACCATAAACTACTCAGTTTCTTTTTGCATAATTTCTTTTTCATCAGTCATATTTTGATTTGCCATTTAATTTCAAATATAATAATCTGAAAACAAGATTTGAATGAATATTTTATTTTGAAATGATGTTTCTGTGTGAGTGCATGCACACACACACACACACACATGTATATATATATATATAGTCATAAAAAAGGATAAAGGAAAGAAAGGAGTGGTGTAATGATGAGATTATATTTTCATAGTCATTAATTTTCACAAAAGATAATGTTTTTCTTTATACATTACAGATTTGCTTTCATAAAAAAAAATGACAACTCACCATTGGCAATTACTGTTACACCATGTGCATCTCACATCACCTGGAAGGTTACATTTCGTGAAATTCACTCACAGTGTAAGTTATTGATGTTTTTAAAATTCCATTTACTTTTTTATTTACCATCCTTAAATACTTTAATGCTTTATATTTTAGTCTAAATTTTCAATAAATATATTTTTACTTCTAAACCATTGACTCTTCATCTTTGCTGTTTTTATCAAAACATTTTGCTTATTATTATCAGAAAGTTACTAAATGTGACAGACAGCTGGGGAAGCCCACCAAATACAGCAGCTGAACCATTCTGATAAAGACAACACAAATGAGGAAATTGCTTCAAAACTATCAATGTATAATGTTTTCTTGAGTTTCCAATTTTAGCATATTAACAGTTTCAAAAGAAATTAATCAGCATCAGCCAAAGTATATTAAAGTAATTTGCATATTCTGTTACTATTTTTTCTTTTTTTTAATTGGTATCACCTGAACCAAGGCAGAACAGCCACTAACATGCAAGGGGTTACAGGGTATGGAAGAATTAGGAACAGAAACATTAGTAATGAGTAGAAAGAGAAAATAGTAATCAGGTGGACAGTAGATAGTGATTGACATTGCAATGAAACTTTTGCAGATTAAAGTTAGCTGGAAAGCATGGGACCAGAAGAGAGTCCCACAGACAATGGGTGTGAGAAAAGAAACTATCATCACAGAAGTTATGGCTACATCTAGCTAGCTCAACTGTGAATTGATGAGATCTTGCCGCCAGTCTAGTATTGTGCTTAAATTCATAGAGTCTAGAAATACATTGAGACAATTTTAAAAAAATTTTTAAAGACATAGAAACATTTGATATCTAAAAATATTATATTGTATATTGCAATATTAGTAGATACTATTTAATATATAATAGCAGATAATTATATGAAACTACAATATTGAAAAATAAAGTATTGATTTTTAATAAATGTCTCTTCTAACTCTTATCTTTGTTTTTTTCAGTTAGATCATGAAATGTTCATCAGTGATAACCAATTATGAGATGCAACAAAAGATTTATAGAATCTGCAAGTAGTGGAGCATAAAATAAGCAACAAATTCTTATAGCATTATCATAAGTGAATCAAAATTACTAACTTAACCAATAAATATAATCAGAATATATCAACATTTTTTGGCAAAACCATGTTGCTTAGCATGGATGTTTCTAAGAACTTATTTCCTCCATTAAACATGATTGGTCTGTTTTTTGACATGTCAACCCTTGTTAGGTTATTTAATGTTGAATTTTGTATGGGGCACCTAGTGAGGATTGAACTGAGAACTAATAGTCCACTACTTGCTGTTACATTATTCCATAAACAGTGCAAAAACAATATATCAACCTTGAAAGTAATAAATCAGTGAATGTTTCTTTTATAATCTTCTTTTTTTAAGTTATATCTTCATTGTTTAAAGATAATGTCTGTTGTCTCTTTTAGAGAATCTTATGTTTTTAAAATTTATTTTCAAAATTACTTTTGAAACTGCCCCATGAATTTTGTCAATATAGAATAATGTTATATGTTTGCAAATGTTTCTAGTAATTTTTATTCAAAAAATTATTTTCTACTATGTATTCAGTTTCTCTTTTCAAAAAAGAGGGTGCTGAGAACTTTTACATACACCTGATAAATTAACAGTGTGAATTAGTATTGAAATTCAAAAGATAAAGCAATTCTTTTATTCAAAACTGTTGCAGTTTAAATTATGTACACATGATTCTAAATTAAAGAGTGGTTTATTATCTTAGTAAAATTCACAGTTGCAAATCTAACACATTAATTCATACAAATGAAAATTTCCTGTTAAAATTTTTAAGACAATGTATTTATTATGCAATGATTCTTTCAGAGTTACATTTTTATTTTCTTTTTTGATTCATTATACTGACAAAGACCTGAGTGAACAGTTGTTGAAATATTTGAATAAAAACTACAAAGATGAGGATACAAGTCTAAAATATTTACTGTATCAATGAAAACTTAGAAAATGATAATAATTTGTATATTAATATCACTATTCATTTTGAATATGCAACAAATTATAGGAATAGAGATAGAATACAATTAAGAAATATTAAACTCTTGGTAAACTGGTAAAATTGAACTTTTTAGTCATAAAATAAGATTTCTTTCTAATCTCTTCATTTAACTTGATTTAGTTTGGAACCAGATTAAACTCAGCTTAATAAATATCTAAAGATTGAATTATCTTTAGAAAAATAGATTTAAAGTTTGATTTAATTTAGTTAATAATTTTTCAAATTAATAAAATAATGATGAAATATATTGATCATAATATTGGTAAATTTAGAAATCCTATTAACAGTATAACAAATTTGTTGATCAACTAAATGACTGATTACTTCATATACTAGCATTTATATGTTTTCACTGTCTAATTAAAATGTGTAGCCAAAACAAAATATTAAGATATATAAATAAAATCTCTGTTGACTGTTTTAAACAAAGTAGTGTCACGTGATTTAATGGATATTAGCTTGGAATGAGATAGTTGGAGAGCAAAATTCAATTTTCCAGTCATGTTCATTACATTCAGTTACATGGGAAAAGATATGGGGAAATAACAGGACAGACAAGATCCTATAGCCTTGGTTGGCAGCCAGTCTACTGCAGAAAAAATCTTCTGCCATGAATTGAAAGAGACATGATCACCCAAGTGTGTATCATATATAGCACTTAAATGACTGAGTGTCATTATTGCAAAAATTATTCATTCTTATATCCTCATCATTACTGTTTATATTACAATACTTCAGCCAATGTATTCATTTGTCTTTCTCTGGTGTGTCCCATCCAAATAATCCTTGAACGTTATCATGTGTGTGTGCCTGTGTGTAAATATATTTTTTATCTCACCCACTCTTCATTAAGAATTGAAATTCAGATTGAAAAAGCAAAGACAGAGCATAAATATTAAAAAAAAAGCTAACATATAAACCAATCCCAGTCTATTATGCAGTAAAATCTTTAAACACTTTTATTATCAACTTCAATTAACAAAGCTCTTTATAAAAGTCTTATACATTTGTTGAACATTCCTCACATTGATTTCCATAAGTTATTAATCTACACATTTTACTTCTAACAGATTTGTTGATAAATTCATGCATGAAATCATCTTTACCATGCATTGTTCAAGTGTTTGTTCCAGCTGGTGAACTGATCAAAGTGAACTCTCCAACGAAATAACTACTCTCAAATCTAAATAACATAAATATTTACTAGTAAATAAACAAACTTGAATGATAGCAAACATATATTAACAATAGCCCAACCTATACATAAATACTAAAATAGAGTAATTTTCAGTGGTAATACTACATTTGAAAACCATTAAAAGTAAATATAACCTTGAACTGTATACACTTGACATGCCATTGTAGTAAGGAATATGAGAAACGAACTGTTTTATAAAGATTGTATTTGAAGCTATGAATTCAGGTATTACAGACCCTTTATAAAGAGAAAAGGAAGCCTCTTTGGAATTAAGACAAAATAAAAGGAAACCAAACTTGTAAAAAAAAACAGAAAGTAAAAGCATCTTAAATTTTTAATAAAACTATTTAAATTTAAGATTCTTTACTTTCTAATAAAATAACAAAAGGGAATATATTTTCAGTATTGATATGTTTTTATTTCTTGACTTAAAGGCATTACATATAAAAAAAAAAAACTTTGATTACATTAACAACTAAGAATCACTTTTAATTTTTCTCTTCAAAATTAAAAAAAGTTTTCAAGTTTCTGTACAAATTAATGGATTTTAACTTATTTACATAAAATATAAGTTAAAAGTGTGTGTGTAAATCAGTTTTTCATGTAAAACATTACATCAAGCAAAATATCATAAATTATTTATTTATAAAAATGTATTAAATAAATAATATTTAAACTAACAAATTTCAATTAGAAAAATGAATTCTTTTCAATCTCAAATCATTGTTTCTTATAGACGATTATGGTCAGCCATAACCAAACTGATACAAAATGATTCAGAGGTAATTAAGCAAAATTTATGAAATATTAGGATATTTGGAAAGTAATTATGTTTTATCAGAAAGGATATAAAAACAAATGCAAATTAAATTTCTTAAGTATTATTTATCAAAAATGTAATCACTTTCATTTTTAACTGCTACAACACATTAAGAAGGCAAAATTTTGATTCTATATTTAAAAAATCTTATTTTTTTCCCCAAAAAGTCTGAAACACTGTTTTCAACTTCTTTGTTTCTGAATGTCCTGCAACATATAAAATGTTCTAGTGACTGAAACAAATGAAACTCTGTAGATGCTAAATCTAGTGAGCGTGGAAAAATCTCCCATTAAAGTACTCTTATTTTTTCTTAGGTTTATTTTGCAGAGTATGCCCTTGCATTGTCATAATATAGAATAATACCTTTCGTTTCCCAGTCAGAACACTTTCAGCATATTGCTTCCTTTATTTGCTCAAGACGCTGGCAATAAATGTTTGTAGTGTTGTTTCTTTCATATTTCATTCTTAGAATGGACAACACAATACCTTTCATATTCCACCAGACACAAAGTAAGAACTTCTGTGAATGGAATCCTGGTTTTAGTGTTGGCACTGATTTCTCATTTGCCTTTTCCATTTTTCTGTTGCCATGCAAAACCCATTTTTCATTACTTATAACAATGTGATGCAAAAATGAAAAGTTGTCATTTCTGGTAAAAAAAAAATCTACTGCAGATGTTGGCACCAGTGAAAACTCGTCAGGAACCCAAATACTCTCTTTGAAAGTTTTCCTAATTAAACTTTGTCATGTTCTATAAACAATACACTGACAAATAAAAAGGATCTAGGTGAAGTTTTGTACAATTCAACCATGGTTCTGCCATGACTGGTTGATACATAATCTACAGCAGTGAAAAATATAGTGTTATTTTTTAAACACCCTGCTAGATATAATATATTAAATCTAAATCAGTTATCATCTAATGACCAGTTATGTAAGATGTAATCAATTTTCTGTGAAATAGAAAAAGTCTTTTATATGCTGTAAAGTTGGTTTGGGAAAACAATTTAAAACTTTTTTTTATCAAGAACAATTTTAGAGGAAAGAAGTATGACAAAGTGGAAAACGTTTTTGTGTAATTTATTTCATCCTTTAGGATTTCATCAAACTAATTTTATTTTTCATTGATGTGACTACATGTGCACATTAAGGAAACAAAGATGCTGAGAATTTTAAATTAAATTAATTTTTTTTCATTAAATATGTTTTGGGTATATAATCTAGCTGATTTCATTTAGATATTAAATTAAAAAAATAAATTTAAAACGTAAAATTCTCAGCATCTCCCTTTCCTTCATGTACATGCATAGTTGCATCAATATAAACATAAATTTATACTGACAAAGTCCTGAAGGAAAAAAAGCATTGCACAAAACTTTTTTCAACTTTGTCATACTTTTTTCCTCTAAAGTTGGTTTAAAAATCTAATGATTACATTTCCCATTTCAAATAAATCAATTAATACTGTCTTCATTTTCAAATCATTCATGCTTAAATTATTAATCTTTTCATTTGTTGAGTATTTTTGTTTCATCTTTATAATTCTACTAATTAATTAAATAACTGCTAACACACATCTTAATTCATTTCAGTGGACTCCGCCACAGGAAACACACCCTCAGCACCTTTAATTCATCTTCAAAATTTTACAAGTGAAGCAGCAAACACATACAAAGATGATCACAGCCAAAAAGGATTATATTTAATTGAATTGGAACCTGTTACAAGAGAAACATATGCTAGGATTTATGTAACTACAACTCCTGAAATTGATAAAGTGTTTCCAGAGCTACCATCAGACAACAGAGTAGACGTTACTCAGAAAACAAATAAAGAAATTAACATTATGTGGAAACCCAGCTCAACAACTCTTGACCATACTGAATACTGTATAGTATTCAGTCGAAAACAACAATTCTACAGCCACTGTGGTGTATTGGCTCATTTTTATGGTGATGTAAAACCCACTCTGCCACCACACACAGGTTTTGGTTTCAAAGGTGAAAAAGAAAAAAAAAAACTTTTACGGAAATCAGCAAAACCAATTCGTGCTGCTTCCAAAGGACAAATATTTTATGAATGTGTTGGAAGCAAGCATTCATACACATTCAAAAAAGCAAAAGCTGGCCGGAAATATTTCATAAATGTCTTTGCAATCAATAAGGCAACCAACATGTCTGTTAGTTATGCTGGTTCTCAAGTAAGGCTAAAACGTGGTAAAAGGAAACGACTTGAGTTAAAAGAAGGACGAATGAAAACTTTAATTTTTAAAAGGAAAAGAACTCAAAAGGTTCAATTTAGACTTGTTCAAGATGTGAAAGTTTTAAATCTGCATATGCAAGCCTGTGGAGGTACAATGAAAATACGTATCTCAAAGAATAAAAAAAAGATAAAAATTGCCAGAACCAATGTAAAATTATTAAAAATACTTACTTTACAAGACATGAAAAGTGGAGAGTATTTGATAAGTATTTCTGGAGATAAAAGAAAAAATGGAATTGATCAGTCAATGACATTATTGTTCAATGATAATTCATCCCAAACTGATGTACCAAAACTACCAGAAAACATGCAAATAACAGTGTCAGAAAAGTTAATCCGGTGTGATCAAGTGACTCTTGCTTGGACCTCCATCAAAGACAAACAACATTATTGCATATATAAGAATGAAGTTCAAGGTGCTCAAGTCAAAAATATTACAAACTGGAATGCCAAACCACAATGTACAGCACTCAACACAAGAAAGAAGTCACAGAAAGTTCTGTGTAAAATAGCACAACACACAACTAAACATCAACAAGAGTTAACAGAAACTATTGAGAAACTAACTCCAGGAACCAGTTATATATTTTCTGTGTATGTAGGTCCAAGAGAACAAGAAATGTTTACCTACCAGTCAGTAATTGTTACAACGAAATCAAGCTGTTAACAAAGGACTTTTCTATATACATTTGTACACTCACTCATTCGCACATACACAATTACCTACACATTCTTACATACATGTATATATCGTGTAATACTTATCACATTACCTCTATCATTAAAACTCTGCATGGAAAAGAAAGTAATCAATGGCAGGAAAAACTGAAATGGGTATAAAAAACTCATATCAAAATTTTATCATAAAAGTGATTAGGAAGTTCAAGTTAAAAAGAATGAATATTTAAAAAATGAAAGCTTTACAAAAAGTTGAATTATTTTCAAATTACTTTAATTCATATGAAATTTGTAGATTCAAAAGCAAAATCAATTTAAACATATAAATGCAAATTAAGATTTAGTTTTAATCATAGAAGTAATTAGAACAAGAGTAATTATAGAAAATTGAATGAAGAATTACTTTTTTTAGGAAAAATGCTTAATTGATATATGTAATTAATTCCAAATTTTAAAAATTAAATTAATTTATATTTTCAAAAGACATTTGATGTTTTAAAGAATAAATAATAAAACTAAATATATTGTGAAATGAAAATGCAAGTAAAAGAGTTTGAATATATGAAGCAAAACTTTTAGATAATTAAAAGATTTCAATTTGAAAATGAAGTTTATTTTCAACTTACATTTCAAATTAAGCAGATCATAAAGAATTATTTTATGTATGAATGAGTATTTGTATGAATAAATGCAAAATATCATCACATTAAAGATTATAATAAGCCATTTTAATTTGAAAGAATAAACAAGAAAACTTAGAATAGAAATACATGAATACAGAAAATTCAATTTACATAAATATATACATATGGATATACATATGTTGTCATTAAACTATATGATAGACTAAAACTTAATTCTGAAAATGGAAGACAATCTGGAATATACTGGGAACATAGAAAAGGGAAACACAACACCTATTTCTTATAATTCTCATTCTTTTTTCTGAATGAGCAGACAAAAATAATCTAAACTTTTTAGGTTTCTAAATAATATTATTCAAGATGAAATGCATTCAGTTAGAACGTTCAAAATCCAACCAGAAAAAACGGTTAATATAAAGTTGTTTGCATTACATCAAATGTAGAATATTGGATTTGTGATGATGGTGAAAAGGTATGATCTATTAATTTAGAGATTACTGTTACCTCAGATTAAAATTTATATTTGTTTCCTTGGCAAGATGTCAAAGTCTAGAGAGGGAAGACTTATATTCAGTACCATTTAGATGGTGTAAACTTTGGATTGGTCTTTTCCATAAACAAAAGAAACCATCACCCCTCTGAATGTACTGCTACTGTATAAAGGAAACAAATATTTTTAAAAACACCTGTAAAACAATGGGTGATCTCCCGTAATCATTATAAAAATGAATAGAACATGTGTATGTATTTATTAAAAAAGAAAAAATTAGACCTCAAAAAGACAGTAAAGCTTTTCAAGGTCATTTTATATTCATATGTTGACAGCAAGGGATGTCAATGATGTCCACCAACAATTCCAAAAAGAGGAATTCTGTCAGCTGAACTCACCCATAGGACTCAGCTGGTGATGTGTTACAGAATTTGCTTTTTCTTTGTTTACAGGGTTTCTGATAAAAAAAAAACAAAGTTCCTATATTAGTTGATGTATTTTCTTTTTGTCTTTTCTTTATTTTTTGTTTCTTGTATTGTTTGTTCTTTTCTATAGATTTTCTTACTCAGATTAAGAATTCTATTAAGAATTAAAAATTTATATTTTTGTAACGTCAACTCAGTTTCTTTGCAAGACTAACTGAAGTAAAAAAGCAATATTTTCAACCTGTTTTAATAATAGATATTTCAATAAGCACAATTTAATGCCAAACTAGAAAGTAAACTTAATACAAAGATGTTTTACAAATATACTCAAAAGCTTCTAAATGGCAAATAAATATGAAATGTAAAAGATGAATAAACATGTCTGTTAAAAAAATCACAAATGGAAGACTGGCCAATTGTAATAGGCTATGAAAATATATCGTAGAAAATAATGAAAGGAATCCTGAAAATTAATAAAGATTATTCATGATAATAATTTGGAATTCTAAGTTAAATCAAGAAGTTCTTTGGTTCACAACATCAATTTTGAAATAACATTTAAAGATATTATTATATCAATAAAAGAAATTGATTTATTTTATGTACATGATAAAAAATTAAATGCAAATATCATGTGTGCTTGTCAATGTACATTTAAATGTATTGTTTTCTGTGTCATCTCTAAGTAGAAAACTGAAACATGAGAAAAATAAGTCAAAATATATCAGAAATTAATTATAAGATATAATTGTATATTTAATCTAAATCTGATCCATTATATTGCTTCCAAAATCTAGAAATTATCATTTTTGAAAAACTTTTACTGCTTAGCAGGTAAGTAAAATTATTTTAAAATAGTGCATGATTATAACTCATAAAGTTTGAATATATATACAGTCCCCTCCAAAAGTATTGGAACAACAAGGCCAATTCCTTTGTTTTTATTGTTCACTAAAGACATTTGGGTTCAAGATCAAAAGGTGAATATGAAACATGATTTCAGAATTTCAACTTTTATTTCCTGGTATTTACATTTAGATGTGTTAAACAATTTTTTGAACGTTTTGTTGCCTTATTAGACTAATTGTTTAACCATTAAATAGCTCTGAATGACTACTCTTGGTTTTAGCCAGTATTTCTTGTTAAAAAGGATTGACAGTGCTGTCTAGGAGAAAAACAAATGATTTTGAAGCTGAGAAAAGAAGGAAAATCGATCAGAGCCATTGGACAAACATTGAACATAGCCAACATAACAATTTGGAATGTCTTGAAAAAGAAAGAAACTACTGATGTACTGAGCAACAGGTTGTTGAAGGAAAACAACAGCAAATGATGACAGAAAGGTTGTGAGAGCTGTAAGGAAAAACCGAAAATCAACAGTCAGTGACATCACCAACAACCATGACAATTCAGAGGTGAAGGTATCACAATCTATTTGAAGAGAACTTTGAGGCCATACAACAAGATGCAAATGAACTTGCAAGAAAGTACAGTGATGAGCAACAGAAGTTCTGAAAGAAAGTTTTATGGATTGAGAAGACCAAGATTAATTTCTACCAAAGTGATAGAAAGGCAAAAGTGTGGAGAAAGAAAGCAGTTGCTTATGATTAAAAGCATACAAGCTCATCTGTAAAGCATGGTGGAGGCACTATCTTGGCTTTGGGCTTGCATGGCTGCTTCTGGAACAGGTTCATTAATATTTATTAATGATGTAACTTATGATGGAAGCAACAGAATGAATTCAGAAGTCTACAGAAATATTTTATCTGCAAATTTACAGAGAAATACATCCAAACTAATCAGAAAGGTCCCTATTATGCAGCAGGACAATGACCAAAACATACTGCCAAAGGACTTCATCAGCGGAAAAAAGTGGACAGTTTTAGACTGGCCAAGTGAATCACTGGACCATAACCCAATAGAGCATGCATTTCATTACTTAAAGATAAGACTGAAGGAAGACATTCCTTGAAACAAAAAAGAATTGAAAGAGGCTGCATTAAAAGTTTTGAAAGCATCAAAAATGAAATTTGGTGATGTCAATGGATCACAGGCTTGATTCAGTTATTGCAAGCAAGGGTTAAGCAACCAAATATTAAACGTTATTTACTTTAAGACTATCTGTTCCTTTACTCTTGCTCACATAAAAATGGGGATGATCTGATACAAAAAGTGTTATATGTCCTAAGCAGTTTAAAACATCTAAATGTAAATATCAGGAAATAAATGTAAATATCAGCAAATAAAAGCTGAAATTCTGAATTCTTGTCTCATCTTTTGATCTTTTGATCTTAAACCCAAATGTCTTCAGTGAACAGCAAAAACAAACAAATAGACCTAGCCATTCCAATACTTTTGGAGGAAACTGTATATAATATATAAACTTAATTAAAAATAAATCAAGATGAAATTTTTATAAACATATTTGAATAAAATATTATTTTTAATAAACATCACTGCTAAAGATTAAATAATTACCTTATAATGTTCAACATATATGAATATATCATAAATTATCAGAGAAATTTAGTCACTATTGTACAATCTATGAAATTAAGTACCTCAAGGAAGAAGCGTATGGAGGACTGAAATTTATTTATAAATTAGTGTTTCAAAAGCTGAAGTAATAGATATCAAAAAATATGACAGTAGCTTTTCATAAATTAAATAAGACCCAATAATGTTTGTAAAATTTGTAGAAATTTATTAAAAATCTTCCTGGATGACTGACCAGTGGCTTAAACTAATAGCATATATCTATAAAACATGAATTAGCCACTTTCTCACTGCACACAACTGAATTAAATATTAGTAATTTGAATGTTTAATAGAAATGAATAGAAATTAATCTATTTTGTTCTATTTGATAATAAATAAGAATTGTTGTTTATAGTGAAGTGTCATGAACATGATTTAAATGTTAAGTCACTGAAGAAAGCATCAATTATAATCTCAGATATAAAAGAATGGAATGTGTTAATTTGAGGTAAAATAGAATTTATGACATACTTTTAACTTTTCATTCTATTAATATATTTTGAGAGGAATTATTAATATGAACCAAAACATATTTAGACAATATTTTATGGAGGATTTGCTAACATTGACACAAAGTAATTACAAACATTACAGAATCAGTAAAGATGGTGTGGAAAGTGTGTGTTTGATGAGCTCATATATCATTTCATGTGCCATTTAATTATATGAACAAATTTATATTTACAAAGACAAAAAGAAAACTCAATGTTTTCAATACTTTCCAAAAGAATGGATTAATTTATATATTGGCAAGAAAGAGAACATAATCCGAAATTAACTTGAATTTCTGAGATGAGAGTTTGTTAATATTCTGCATTCAATCATCTGGATCAATGTCCTTTGAATGAATTAACATATAATAGCAAATAGGATGCAATTAATTAATATTAATACTAATGTTCAAATTATTTACTAACAAATACCAACTAAAATTAGAAAATGGATTGTTTCATCCATGGTATACTGTTCAGGCATTTCCAAATAGTGCTGCACATAGGATGATTTGAAACTTGGTCAGAATGCTAATATTCTAACTACTCAGTCATGCACACATTTAGAAAATAAATACCAAAATATTTAAAGCAACTACTGAAATTAATTAACAAGCTATAGTAAAAATATAAATAAATAAATAAGTAAAATTCATTAACTAATTTATTTAAATAAATGACAATATAAAATGATAACTCGAAATTTCAACATCTAAGGAGTATGCATTTATAATGGAGTTTAACATTTGTTTTAAACTCCAGTAATTTGTTTGGATGAATAAAAAAAATTAAGAACTGCATTCACCTCCCACTTTACATCACTTAACCTTTCTGTGAATATTATTCAATATATTTCATGCACTAAATTTAGAAAGCACTGTTCATTAACAATACCTTTTTCAAGTAATCATCAGTTAGTCTTATGTGCTGACACCCTGTATCAAATTGTATATACATTAATTAAAAATTAATATACATTTACCAATAGAATCATTTAAGTGATCTATCAAAAACTTGTGCTTAAGAAAACTAAGTGATTTTGTATTCTTGAATTTGGCTTATATTTATATCTCTGATTATCTTATATAAGGTAGCGCTGAAAAGTTCTTCTCAAATGACAAAACAATAGAGTTTTTTACTTCTTAGTCAGGCCAAGAACTTTTCAGCACACTGTAGTATGTTTGTAGCTTTTAGTGGCGATTAGTTATATCAGGTCATCCCATAAGTTCTGTCCGAATTTTAACCTTTTGTTAAAATGAACAAAATTTAAAGAGTATTTTGTAATGTCTAATGGAGCTGAACATTATTTTTATGCTTAGATGCATTAAAACTGATCAAATTTTATTTCAGAAAACAATAAAATTAAATTTTGTTTGATTAAAACCCTGCTAACATGGAAGTACCCAAGAATCATTTGAGGCACATAATACTTTATGAATTCAAGAAAGGAAACTCAGCAGCCAAAGCAGCTAGAAACATTCACTCAGTTTATGGAGAGGAATGTGTGAATGAAAGAACTTGCAGATGGTTTACAAAATTCAGAGGTGGAGATTTCACCCTTGACGATGAAGATCGAACCGGACATCCAGTTGAGTTTTATGAAAAGCTTCTTGAAGCAGCCCTTGAAGAAAATCCTGCTTTATCAGTTGAGGAATTGGCAGTGGTTCTCAATTTAAACCATACAACTGTTCATCATCATCTTCAACAACTTAGAAAAGTTCCTAAACTTGAAAAATGGGTGCCTCATGAATTGTCTGAAAACAACCTCAAATCCCGAGTTGACATTTGCTCTTCTCTCCATTCTCGCCAACTTGTTTCACCTTTTTTGGATAACTTGTGACTGGCAACGAAAAATGGATCTTTTATCGAAATGTTAAGCGTCATAGACAGTGGCTTGGTAAAAGGGAAGGACCCCAGCCACAGCCGAGAAGGGAACTTCATGGGCAAAAGGTTCTTCTTTCAAT